GCAGGTATTCAGGCTAAGCAGATATTTGCTGGACATGTTAGTAAGTCCCAGAGGACTGTGGCACCCCTCAGGCCAGACTCTTCTGAAATGGGACCATTTCCCTTCAGGATCCTAGGATTTCTCCTTCTGACTCTGTCCACTGAGGGGCTCCCTCTCAGCTTTCACAATGTACTCAGTGCAGGGGCTAAGATCTGACCCTGACAGGTATAGGGACCCAGGCAAGAGGACTCCAGAAAAGAGGTGGGGAGAACTAGCCCCACACCCAGAGGCTGGTGTGGCCACACAGCCATCAGCAGAGCCTGTGTGAACCCATGCATGATCCAGGAGCCTGTGACACTGTCCACACAGGTCCAGATCCGTGCAGCTGAGGTTACATGGTGTGCTACTGGGCATGCGGGTGAGAGTCCCTTGAGACTTACTAATGTACCCAGCAGATATTTGCCATGCCAAACACTGTTCTTGGGGCTGGGGAGATGGCTGCAAGTCACACAGATCAGCAGCTTGTCTTCATGAAGTTTCTATTCTGGCATGTGAGCTCCTAGTCTATATGGACTATGGCTGGTTGCACTATGACCAGGGAGCATGTGTGTGTGTGTCTGGCTGGGGCTCACCTGCTGGGGAAAAGGGCAGGAGGTAGGGGACCAAGGTAATGAGTCAAGCTAAGAAAGCACTTTTGCACAGGCAAATTATGCACTACTAACCTCTCACCATCTGAAGGTTGTCAAGGCGATGCTCCAGCCACACCACTCCCCTTGCCAGCATGGCTTTTGCCCTAATGCCACCAGGATAGTGCCATACCTTTGAGCTGAGGCATTATTAACACGAGGAGGCGCCTTCAGAATGCAGGGGTCCCTAGAAGTGCTAAGGTGGACCTCCCTCCCCACCTCCCATAATGCACAGGGGCCTCTGCCGCCATGACCTGAGCATTTGATGGGAAAGAGGAAGGTTTGGGACTGGAGCCTCAGGTTCAGGCAGTTCTCAGACTCCTCCACTGCCTTCTCCTTGGTCTGTCACCATTCAGCCCAACCAGAGGAGGCGGAATGAAAGCAAACGGCATGCAGCTGAGGCCAATCTTTACCACAGCCCTGGAAGATTTATGATGTAAGAGGTTTGCCAAGGAAAGAGGGAGCTGGGATTAGAACCCAGGACCACTTAATCCCAGGGCCCAAGCCCCCAATGAGTGTCACTAGATAAGGGTCCAAGGAGGGCTTTCTGAGAGGACAGCAGGACTTCCACTCAGCCTGTCCAGTCCTTAACTTAGACGCCTGGAAAAAAATTCTCAGGATGCACCTAAAGCAACTCACAAGCAAAGGTTTATTAAAGGATGGCAAAACAAAGATATTCACACCTTGAAGGCAGAGTGTGACACCCTTTGTCCCTGAGAAGAGATGAGTGATACACCTAGGACTGACCTGACTGTATATAGGATTTTCCTGGGAAGACAAGTGCAGATTCCCAGGCAAGCTTTTGTGTAAATCAAATCCCATGTCAAACATTTGATATTTGGAGCTCAAAATGTTCCTTCTTGTTTAGAGTCTGGCCATAAACTGTGTGGGCACATTGTGTGGGTCTTTGAATCTGGTGACATCAAAGTTGATTATGGTTTTGTTCTAATTGGTCTGGTACAAACATACATGGAGGTTTTGTTCATCTAACTAAAGAGAGAAGCATGAGCGGTCTTTTTTTAATTATTTTTTTTAGTTTTTGATAGACCTTTATTTTATTTATTTGTATGTGGTGCTGAGAATTGAACCCAGTGCCTCACACATGCTAGGCAAGCACTCTACCACTGAGCTACAACTCCAGCCCACCTTTATTTCATTTATTTATTTTTATGTGGTTCTGAGGATCGAACCCAGCGCCTCACACATGCTAGGCGAGACCATTTCCCTCTACCACTGAGCCACAACTCCAGCCCCATGAGCGGTCTTTTTATAGATCCGGGTCTCCATCTAGTATGGCTCTCTTTTCCGCTCCCCTTGAAAACCCCCAGGGACCTGGTTACCTGCCCCAGTTCTGTTAGCCCAGAAGGAAGTACAAGGGCTGAGGCTGCAGACCCCAGGAGGGACTAGGGTGGTCAGGGGTGAGGGTGAGGGGCAGGAGTGAGGGGGGAGTGAGTTGCAACTTCCCTGAAAAACTTGGGTGAGCAAAGCAGCCTGGGTTCAAGATGAGCACCCAGAGAAGCTGGGAGAGTGGCCAGTCCCAGACAGCCCTGGGAATTCTGGCCCAAGGCAGGGTGCCATGGCCATCTCAGCCCCTCCTCCAATATGTCCCAACTTGTCAGACACTGTCCCCTCATCCTGTGCTGGCTCCAGTATCCTTCCCATGAACAGAGGCACCGTCCATTCCCCACAGCCCACGGCCTGAGCCAGGCTAAATAAGCAGGAGTTGGGGGGGGGTGCCCTCTACCCCCCACCCTTCCACCCCGCTCTTGAGACCTGGGCGGGGCTGGAGGCCACTCAGGCCCTGCTGGCCGCAGCTATCTCAACAAGTGCTTTTCCAGATGTGCCTCATTCCAGGGAGGGCTGGCTGTTCCCAGGATGGTTCATGTGCCATCTCCACAGAGACCACTGGGGGCTCTGTCCAGAGGTGGGTGGACAGAGTCCCTGATGCTGTTAAAGGGTCCAAATCTCAGGCTGTGTGAAGAGAAGACACCCATGGGTGTGGCCATGGCTGTCACCAACCTAAAACTTCTGTTGAGTGCAGGACAGAGGGGCCAACAGGGAATGGAACCTATTTCTGAACCCAGCAGGGATTTCTTGCCCGGTTATGGAAAGCAATGACTTCATTCCCTCCGGGAGGCCCACCAAGAAGATGGAGTGGGAGGGTGGGAGGGGACACAGGCAGCAGAAAGTGTGGCCAGCCAGTCACCGTCTGCTTACCAACAACTTGGATGCGTTTTCTAGAATCACTTTCCTGGATCGGGGCAGAGAGCAGTGATGGGAATGGGAAGACTGGACAGTCCCCAAGGGTGGTCAATATCAGAAAGCTGCCCACCTTCTGAGAATCCTGACCAGGGCCTTCTGCTCTCTCTGATAACCTCTTTGACAGGGCACTGCTTCTATGCAGCCAGGCAGCCCTGGCCCTCAGGAGGCCATGGCCATAGCAGAAACTTAGTACCAGTCTGGGGTCATCTTTCTCGTGCAGCAAGGACAGCCCCTCCAACCCTGGAGGAGGGAGCAAGGGCTGAGGCCCAGAGCACACAGGATTGAAAGTGTTGTAGGGAGAGAGGAGCAAGAAACAGTTTTATTTGGCTGCAGCCAGGCTCAGAGGGCACAGCTTTTGCTGTAATCAATTAACCCCTGAACCCCAAGTTCAGGTAGTTTCAGAGTTTTATACCCAGCATGTAAGGGGGGGTGGGGGGGGGCTCACATGTTCACAGTCTGCAGAAGTTCACATAAAAGCAGCATTTTCTTTCACTGTTTTGGGCAAGTTAACTCTTCAAGGACAACACCTGAGAAGGGGAGAGCTTCTTTTCCCCATTTTTCCTCTCCCTGCCATTTGTTACCATGGAGCCCACTGGTAACTTATCTTAAAAATGTAGATATCTCTGTGAAGCCCATCTCGAGGCCAGAGGCCTTGTGTGCACATTTCTATAAAGTACTATACTAGATATGTTTGTGAAAAACTAGTAAGGGGGTGTCCAGCACATGGACTGCTGGTATCTTCTCAGCCAGTGGCCAAGTAAAACAGGGAATCAGGAAAACAGGAAGGTTATCTACATTGAACTCTTTTGCAGAGAGTCCTTTGCTGACAGTCCTAAAATCGGCCATGGTGAAGATTTCTGGAGAAGCCCAGTTCAGACTTTTCTGTGGAGGAAGGGGGTGCCACTTCAAAAGGAGCCAGTTCCAACTCAGCTCCTATACCTAGGCCCCAGGCTCCTCACTCACCACCCAACATGGCTGCTGCACCCACCTTCCCTGCACCACCCTGAGGTCTGTGCTTCCTGGCTCACTGTGCCTGGGTGTCACTGTCCACACTTTGTCCTGTCACAGAGCCTGGCCCTCCTCCTTCCCAGATGCACCAGCTCCTGCACAGCACTCTCGATTTAGGCCAGGCTCCCAGCCTAGCCTGGGGGGTCCCAAATTGCCCCACAGGTGAGGCTGGCCCTAGAATCAGGCCTGGGCCTCTTCTTCCCCATGCCCCATCCTGAGAGAGCTCACCACAGGGCTAAGTGTGGCCAGGGATGATCTGGGAAGCTGTGTCCCCAACCATCGTGTTCTTGAGAGATGGACACTACCTCTCCAAGCATGTGAATTCTTCCCTGTCCGGCAGATGACTCTCAAACATTTAGGTGTCACACGATCTCTCTCAAATCAAAAACGGATTTAGCGGGGCCACCAGTGAATCACGAGAGGGAACAATTTAATAATTTTCTAGGCGACTGCCTCCCATTCATGTCTCCTTTCCCCATCCCCACCCTCGCCCCCACCCACGCTGCCCTGAGCAATAAGCTAGGCTTTTTGTCCTAGGGGTGGGGCACAATGTCACACCTATTTCTGGAAGGCAGGATTTTCTGATTTGATGTTTTACCAGCATCTCTACGACAATATCCCACAATTCTTGATGCCACCGAGGAGGAACCTCTGGGACAGGGTAGGAAAATGCTGCCATCAGCCTGGCTGGGGCCTACGGGAGTTTCATGTACCGTGTCCAGGGACAAAAGCAGAGATTCAAAAGTCAGGCTGAACTTGAATGAGGTCACCCCAGGAGACAGGGCTGTCCTCCCCCATCTCCACCCCAACCCATCTGGGGCTGGAGAAGGTCCTCCACGAATGTGCAGAGTCACATTTTCCCCAGCCCAGCCCTGCAAGTGGGAATCCCTGCTGGCCCGGGAGGGAGGTCAGGCATCCCTCCCTTGCAGAAAAAGCTGCTGGTGGCTTTTGTGCTGGGCTGCCAGACCACACCCGTGGAGACGGCAGGGCGGGACAGTGCTCTCTGGGAGGAAGTGTCCTGTGTGTAAGTGGTTTGAGAACACTTCCTCACACTGGGTTCCTCCTCTCCCCTGGGCCTGGCCGGTGCAGCTTCCCTTCCTGCTCCCTTCTGCTTTCTCAAAAAGTCTCTTCTCTTTGCCTTTTTACGTTATCGAGCAGCAAGATCGGAAGAAGGAGCTAGATAGCACTGGCTCTCATACCCTGGTTTTGTGCACCGGGAAACTGAGGCTCGGAGAAGAGAGGTAACATGCCCCGGGGGGCTTTGGATGGGTCAGAGTGGAGTCAGGACTGGGCCCCTGTCGCAGGGCTGATCTGTAGCCACACCCAGCTGCCTCCTCGCCCTCCCTTCTTTGGTGGGCAGGAGGCTGCCTCTTTCTTAGACTATGCAGCAAGGTTACAGAAAAGGGCTCTCTCTCCCTGACCAGGAACCAAGAAGCCTGGAGAGCTAGCTACTAGGGATCCACAGGGCAGATGGTCTTCTCCCCCAGGTCCCAGGACCTGGTCTGCTCGCATCTCTGAGCAGGGAGTCATGGTCTTCCGTCCCCAAGTCTCCTGGCTGTCTGCTCACCTTTGAAGGTTTCTCATGCTCCCCCACCCTGACCAGCTGTTTGTACAGGCCATGTCCAGGTGCTCACGGCCAGTCCAGGGACTCCAGACCAACGGGTAAAATGTGTCCCTGACCTGCTCATGCCCCTTTCCTGAAGGCCCCATGCCATCTGGACCTGGTGTTGGATCCATCCTTTTGTTGGGTCTTTTGGCCTCTGTCACTATTTAACTACTTCCTCTGTCCTGTTCCCACCCCCACCCCCATCCAGGACTACTGTGCTCCTTGAACACTGTTCCCACACCTCCTGGCCTAATTCTATCTTCTGAGGGATCCCCTGGGGCCTTCTGCTGGAACAAGCTGGGGGCTTCCAATAACTGAAGACTCTCTGGCTCTTTGGCATTTCCAGGGTACAAAGCCCAGAGAGTTCCAGTGGGCAGAACAGAGGCCCTGGCCAGGCGGCCTCCTTTGCCCTCAGGGGTCCACGGTGAACTCTTACTGGAGGGCATCAGCTCTGTGGTGACATTCCTCTACACCACGCTCACTCTTCTCACAAGCTTGCCACTAGGAGTAATAGAGTTATCTTTAGGTCAATGTGCTAATAAAATTTAATTTTTAATATCTTTTTGGAGGAAGAAGTCCATGGAAGCCAAAGAACCCAAGGCCCACAAAAATGGTAAGGCAGCCCTGACCACCACCCCCGACAGCTGGGAGCACACAGCCTGGAGCAAGAGGTGGACACTCCAGCTGTGCTCTGCTGGCTCTTTCAACAAGCTCCTGGGGACAGATGGTGTCCCTAACCCTCCTCTCCTCCAGGATGGGTCCTCAGTCCCCCTTACCTGTCCGTCTGAGTCTGGCCTCATGGGTCACAATAGAGGCCTGATTGTCTCTTTCTCCTCCCCAGACTGAGCAGGACCTGCACACACACAACACATGCTTTCACATGCAAGGACGTATGCATGGATAATGCATATGCAAGCATGCATGCATACATGTAAGTTTTACACCCTGCATGTGCACTAAATATCACACATGCATGCACACACAAATATGTGCATAGAGGAAGACACACGTGGTGGTCACTAACCCACTGACACCTCAGAAACCCTCCACCATGCACACTGTTGCCTCTGCTACCTGCACCCCTGTCTCCCTGTCCCCTTTGAGTACTCACTGAGTTATTGCCTCTCCCATGCTGTTCATAATCCAAGCCCCTCCTTCATCTTATCTCTTTTTCCTGGAGCTCCTGTACGTGGGGAGTTGCTGGGGCAGGACATGCAGCAGCGGGCAGCGAGTGACCACATTGCTCCATGTCCCTCTCTTGGACACACCTTACCTGGCTAGTCTCTCTTCCTCTCCAGACAGTACCCTGAGTGAGCATGGGCTTGGGTCTGACACAGCTCTCTGCACACAACCAGGTGGGGAGCAGGCCTCAGGGTGCAAGGCAGCTCAGGCAGAATGGAATCAGCCCTGTGCCAGCCTACTAGGCAGCCAGGGTCAGGAGGGTGTGCTTGACCTCCACGGAGAGGGACAGGGCAGGGCCACCTATTGGGCTACCCCTGTTCATTCTTTTGTCTCTTTGGATGCTCTGATGCTAGGGGCCGGACTGGCGGGGGTGCATGCTAGGGCCCCTGCCCCCATCCACCCAGAGACCCCTCCCTCAGTGTCCGTCTGGAGATTCTATTCATGTGAAGCCAACATTCCTGGAGCCCACAGGGCCAGCAAGATCATCTCACACAGGCAGATCGCTGTCTTGCCTAATGAGAAAATGATGACATGGCCCCCTGCTATGGCCCCTGGGGACCTGAGTCCCCAGCACCAGCATGGCAGCTTCACCCCAGCCTTGCCCCACAGCTCCACCCACAGGTCCTGGGAAGTTACCTCCCATGGACTCCCTGCCCCTTCCAGGCAGGGCCTTCCCATCACCTGTGTTGAGACCTCTGAACTCCCAGGGCATTAGAACAGCAGGCCCTTCAGGTCATTAAGACCCCATTGCACCAAGGGAAACTGAGGCATGGGCTGATGTGACCCCAGTGTCCTGCAGCCTCAACCTGCCCTCCCGCCCCACAGACCCAGCAGCACCACGCAGGGAACAGCAGAAAGGCAGGACTTCCTCCTTCCTCTTTGCCTGCTCCCCACTCCAGGTTGACATCGCTGGGACCTCAGAGAGCCAGGTCTGGCAGGGTTGGAGCTGCAGGGTCTGAACTCAGGAAGTCCAAGTGCTCAGGCCAGATGCAGGTTAATGGAGGAGGATAACTGCAGTCCAGGCCAGGTGAGGGTCCTCTCTCAGGCCCTCAGGCCCAAGAATGGAAGCCCTAGAACTGGCCAGTTTTACAGCCACTCAGGAGAGGGGGGCTGCATCACATGCCTGCCTTGGTCTCCCCGCCACCCCTGCCCTGCCAATCAGAGGACAGATGACCCAAGGAAACACAGGCCATGGTCCCCAGATTGGTGGGTTTGTAAACTCACAAATAGAGACCAGGGCAAGGTTGTGAGCTGACTAGGGAAATGCTGGTAGGTGAGGGCATTAGAAGTCATGGAGGCCTTCCCAGAGGAGGCAGAGTTTGAATCACAGAATCTTGGATCTGAAAGAACCACAAAGGCTGCCTGAAATCACATATCCTCAGACCCAGGAATCTCCTTGGTGAATCCCTACCACACGGCCACTGGGCCCTATGTGGGTACTTCCCCTGGCAGTGACATCTTCTTTTCAGGCCACCTATCCCCTTGTAGTACAGTGCTGATGGTTAGAGGGTCATCCCCCCCATGTCACTTCCCAGCAGGGCTGCCACTTTTCCCAGTGTTCCACACCCTCCGTCTAGTGACGGCTCTTTGGAGCAGAAGCAGGGACCCGAGGGCCCATCCCCTTGGGGGGACAACTTCTCAGGAGGTCCACTGCAGGTCTTTGGGGCTTACCTGTTCCTGCTTCACCCTGGTGGCAGTGCAGGGCCCCAGCATGGCATGGTATGGCATGGCATGGTGATCCTGCCCCAGTGGCACTGGAGAAGTGTGACCTTAGTCCTCGAGGAGGTAGACAGGCAGCTCCTGGAGAATCCCCTGACCTGGGACACATGGCCACCATCATCCTTCCAGAAAATAACACAAAGAGGGCAGAAGTCCCACACTCCTCAGTGATCTGACCTGCCGGAGATCGGGGCCCAGTAAGAGAAAGGGCTGGTTTGGAAGGGGTGAGTTCAAGCCTTGGGTCAGAGAGTCAGGGGAGGAAGAGGGGAGGCATCAGGATGGACCTTTCGCCTCTGTTCCCAAGGCATCTGAGGATTTCTCCCGTGCTCCTCAGACATTTATAGAAACTTAAATTCCCTGAAGTCTCTGATTCATTAAGTCTCAGTAACATCTAAGAATTCTGCATTTCTAACAATCTTGGGTGCTGCTGCTGCTGCTGGTCTCTGCACCACACTTTGTGCCATAAGAGACCATAAGGGGTGAGTCACAGTCTAGTGAAAACAAAAGAGAGAAAGGAAGCTACTCCTGGTACAGAGATGGCCACTGAGCATCACTTTCCACCTAAGCTTCCTGAGAGCCACAGCAAGAAAGAGGCGTTCACTAGCTCTTCCTCCAAGATGACAGACAGCTGCCTGTCCCGAGTAGAAAGGCTTTTCCTGATTCTGGCTGTCCAGGGAATCGACCTGGCAGAACTTCTGCCAGGAGAGTTGGAAAGCCTGTCGGTCATTTTAGGAGCACAGCAGGGTTTTCTATGGGAAGGGTTCAGACTTGAGTAGGGTGCATCGCTGATGTACAGTCACGGTTCCGATAACACCAGGCCTCTGGTGCCCAGCCTGGGGGCCGTCCTGCCATCTCTTACTGACTCAGATGCCAACGGGCTCAAGTGTCCCTGCCAATGATGAAAACCTGCTACTGGGTGCCCCACCATGCAGTTCTGGGGGGATCGGGGGGGCATCTGGGACCCAGGTCTAAGCCACAGGAAGAGGTGTGGTAGATTTGTGGGCAACGGAAGAGCCCCACCTTTTCCCAGTAATCAGGAAAGGCTTCTTGGAGGAGGGCATGTGGCATACAGGTCTGTTTATGTAAAGGAAGGGAGGAGGTTTGGGGAGAGGAAGGTCCAGGCAGGAGGGAATGGAGGGGGTGGCATGGCAGGGGTTCCAAGCCATGGCAAGGGCACAGGGGCAGGGGAGTCTCCCTCAGTGCCCCTCTCCCCATGGCCAGCTCTGACCCTTAGGGAGAGAGTAGTGGAAGGAAGATGGCAGGCCCTCTCGCCATCCTGTGCTCCCCGGATGTCCGGTGTGAGTCTGATTCCTCTCCCCACCTGAAGCAGAGCCATGGGCAGTCTCTGCTCCCCCTTCTCTGGTCTGGGCAGAGGAGGACGCCTGGGTCTGCCTTGGAGCAATGATGTAGTTTCTGCCCCCAGGGAGCCCCCCACCTAACCCAGGCCAGTCCCAGTGGGAGCTGGAGTGGAAGCCGTGGCTCAGGCTATGAGGAGGCCTCTGACGGTAAGAGTGGACACAGCCACGGCAGGACAGGGAGAGGACAGACCTGGGAAACCAAACACTAAGGGGCCTTAGGGAAGTCACCACCCCAGCCGGGGTTCCTCACTCGTATCACAGGTACATTGGATGACAAGTGGCCTGACGGAGTGCAGGCTGAACACAGCTGGGTCCCCAAGCCTGGGTTCCGGGCCTTCCCTGCCACATCTTCCCAGGGAGGTGCCCCTCTCTTCCCAGCCTCCTTGTGGTAAAAGCAGCATGATCCTGATGGTTTTCCAGAAAAGGAAATGGAAAATCATTAGACAAATAAATCCAAGGTGTGCCTGCCTTAACCAGGAAGATGGAAAAAGCCCTTGGTATTCTCTGCAATGATTTTGGGGGACAAGAGGAAAGGGGTTCACAGGCGGCCCTGCAGCTGGAAGGCGGCACCTCAGTTGGCCAGGCCAGCTTCTTTCTGGGTGGGACAGACAGGGGTGCCGATCCATCACTCCTTCTGGGTGCTCACCCTCGGGGAGACGGCTGAATTGAAGGAAAGGCTGGGCTCCTACACAATAGCTTGTGGGTATAGAAACCAAGACACTCCAGATATTTCCAGAGGCCCTCAGGAAATAAGGGAAGATAGGGGAGGCGGGGCCGTAGGGAGTCCCGCCCTGTATCGAGACCTTCCAGAACCTCAGCAAATCTTCCAGGACGCAGGGGAGCCCAGAGGAAGCACCTGCCACCTGTTCGCCCCAGGCCCTGGGTGACTACCCGGGCTCTCTGAGATTCACTTTCCTCCTGTGTCACCAGGGAAGTTTGAGTGCCAGCCCTCTAGGGGCTGCATACAGCGCTTGCCACTGCTGCCCCCAGGGTCCATCTCTGAGTGGTCACAGTGGTCACAGTGAGGGATAAGGCCACCTTGAGACATAAGGCCACCTTGTCCCATCACCTAAAGCATAGGGTCAGGGAGAACCAGAGGGTGGCCCAGGAGCAGAGGTGGGGCTGGTGTGAGTTGGGAAAGGGAGAGGAGGAACTTGCTATTCAGATGAGGGTTTGGGGAGCTCTAGGGGTGGGTCAGTCTCCAGGGGTCAGCCAACAGTGGGTGAGGTCCAGTGGGCCTCACTCCATCCCAGCCTCCGACATGGTCACCCTTCTTAGACACACTTCTTGGGTCTCAGTGAGGCTGAGCTGCTCCAGCCCCAGCACTCTGTCAGCCGGTCTCAGGACAGGAGTCACCCTCTCTTGGGCATGTAGTAGCTGCCAAGTCCTGTTCTTCATCCTCACCCTGGCTTTATAAGGTGTCTACTATTATTACTGTTATTTTACAGATGGGGAAACTGAGGCCCAGAAAGGACATTTTGCCCATTTGCTTTGTAATTTGGGGGACACAATACAGGAACAAAGGTCAAATTCCAGGGACCAGCTCATAAACACATTCTTTTTTTTCTAACAGCACACAGGTGAAGCAAGAATCCCCCCTAAGCCCCCAAGTGACCACAGCAGACAGACAGGCTCGGGTCTGTGACCCACAGGCCCAGGTGGGCCAGGCTGCAGGATGGAGGATCTATGTGTCTGAAGGCTGGGAGCTCGTTTTCCTGCCTGGTAGAGATTCCTGGGTCCCCAGGAGATGAGCACTTTCATAATGCCCCCTGGAACCCCCATATGGCCAGAGATGGGGTCCCAGACCCTGAAGACACTGAGTCTCCCCATGGGAAGAGACCCTACCCAAGGCCACCAAGGGACTGAAAACTATCCTGCCAGCCTGGCTGTCTTCCACGGTGCAGTCGGCAGTGGCCCAAGGGAGCAAGACGGTCCAATCCAAATGCCCAAGGTCACCAACTGCATGGAAAACAATGGGCAACAGGTCCAGCCATGGCCGGAGCCAGAACAAAGGACTGGCACTTCCTCGCATTCAGGCCCCTCCTTCATGGTCTGCCAAGGCCAGAGGATGGAGGAAACCTTCATCATGAGGCAGGGAGGTTGTGTCGGCTGGTCTCAGAGAGCTGCAGCTCCCTGTGTTGACAGAGGAGCAGAAAGAGGGACCAGCTGCTGGAGGCCCAGCTCAGCCTGCTGGGAAGCAGGGAGACTGGGGGGATCCGAGACCAGTCCTCCCACCTTCCTGGATCACTCAAACCGGGGTATCTCCCACCTGCTCCTCCTCTCCATGGCCCCAGCATCTCCCCTCTGATCTCCCCTCCACATTGTGGCTATTCAGTCTTCAGAAAACATTAGGATCCACCACTGCTCTGCTCTGAAGCCCTCTATGGCTCCCCAGTGCTCCCAGGAGGAAGTTCAAGCTCTTCGGCCCTTCAAGATTCAGTCCTACAACTTTAATCTTCCCGTGACTCCCAGGCGCCCCAGGTCCCCTCCCCCTGAGAGTCATGCCCCTGTCCATCCCACCTGGAGTGCCCTCTGCCCCTCCTCCCCACTCCTCTCCTTAGGGTTGGGCCTAAATCTTTTCCCTGCCCAGAAGCCTCCCTGACTGCTCCAGCCCATGCTGGGTCCCTTCTTCTGAGCTCTACGCCCCAAATAAATCCAAGAATCATCTGCGTCAGAGGCTTGAGGATAGGAAAGGTAGCAGAATACAACAGTTACTAATAGGGCATTATGTAAAAATGTGGATGTGTAACCGATGTGATTCTGCAATCTGTATTTGGGGTAAAATTGGGAGTTCATAACCAACTTGAATCTAATGCATGAAATATGATATGTCAAGAGCTTTGTAATGTTTTGAACAACCAATAAAAAAAAAAAAAAGAAGCTTGTGGGACAGGGGGCTGGGAGGCCAATCAATACTTGAACAATCCTTCTTTAGACTCGGGTTCCCAGGCACCGAGTTGCTGTTTACACAACTGTCCTGATGTAATCATTAATAGTACCCCAGGCTCAGTGCCTGCGCTGGGGCAGAGAGGGCAGGTCCCCGGGGATGGTGTTGACAACAAGTGTCTCAAGTATCCCCAGAGGGAGCGGGCCACAGGGAGGTGGCCGACTGCTGCGCTTATCACTGAGAACTCTGAAGGCTCCGCAACAGGGAGGGTCTTTTGACAGACGTCAAAAGGCCCTAAAACGGAAAACGCCTGATAAGCACCCAGGATCACCCTTATCAAGGGCCACAGGAAAGGCGCCAGGTTTAATCTCAAAACCACACCCGGAACCAACGGTTTGGAGACCTCAGGCAGCGCCTCCCACAGACACTCAGGGACTGAGGCTGTCAGCCTGGAGGTGGGCAGTGGGACAGGGCAGGGGAGGGGCTTCCTTCCAGGAGGCAGTGTGAACCTTGGGCTTCATCCCAGGTGGGACAGGTACCTGAGGGGAGGGGGGAGGGAGGATCCCTGAGCCCAGGAAGAAGGAAACTGCTGTACAGAGGTGTGTGCCTGTGTGTTGGTGTATGTGTGACAACAGGGGGCGTCTGTGACCGGAGGTCAACACCCACCAACCAGGATCTGCCATGCTGCTAGAGGAGCCAACCATCCTGTAGGCGCTCTGAGGGTGGAGCTTAGCTTTGTGGCGGAGTGATCCGGGAGGACTTCCCGAAGGAGGGGCTCGCAGCTGGGCCTGTGGGATGGACGTGGGAGCCAGAGGGCAGGGGCATCCGAGAACACCAAGGAAGCCTTCAGCAGCAAAGCACCCGCTAGGGAAGCCGCTGCTGTGATCTGGGGTGGGTGTAGCCCAAGTACGGCTGCAGCAGAAGCAGGAAGAAGGACTGGCAGCCACCTCTGGTCCCCCACCAGATTTATCCCTCAGGTCCAAAGACCGTGTGGTAGATGGGTTTCCAAAAGACCCCAGTGAAAGAAAAATGCTCCAGGAGGGCTCTTAAGTAGGAATTTCTGCTTGGGCCTCAGTTTCCCCATCTGTAGATAAGGCCTTCGGTGACTTCCTTGGAGGAGGATACAGAATGGGTAACTGCGTATGCGGGCAGGGAGTGGAATAAAACACCATGAGGAGCATGAAGGGAAAGGCAGCCTTCAGGTTTCAGGAACCCCGGAGCTACCAGCCTGCTTGGTGGGGTCCTGAGCCCTCTGTGTGCCTAAGAGGCTGCTAAGTGCAGACATACCTGCCTACTACGCAGACCCCGGCAGGGTTCTGCCTGGCTATGGGCAGTCTGCCTGCCCACTGCCCGCCTTCCAGCCAGCCCACCCCCTCACCCTGGAGTCTGCATTAAGCAATCTCCATTATCACAAATGCCTGGCATTTTTGCCTGGTAACTTCAGCTCCCACAGCCCCATGAGGGTTAGGGCATGATTCCGGAGTAGGGAGGACTCTGGTAAGCGGAGAGAAATACCTGCAAAGAGACTTGGCAGCCTGATGGCCTCCGGCAATGTTTTGGATGCTCTAAGGTCTCCGTGGCCTTGTAAGGATCATCCACAGGGTGGCAAAGGCCATGGGCCATTTTTCTCTTGCATCCTTTCCCCACTTGTCACCTTATGCTGCCTTCCTGGGTGGACACAGTAGCCCCTCAATCCACTCCCTGACTCTGCCCCTGTGTGTCCCTCCTCTGCCAGGTCTGAAGCAGAGCTATGAACAGGTCTCCTCTCTAGAAAACGTTCCACTCCCATCCACCATCTAGGCCCTGCATCTGCCCTCTGCCCGACTCCTGGTCCTCCAAGTCTCCCAGTCTCTGCTCTCCCAGGATGAGATTCGCAGACATCATGGACATCACCTCTCCGCTCTCACTGTTCCTTCCCACTGGACTGTTCTTCTCTCCAGTTCTCCACTTGTCCTTCAAGGGCCAGACTAGATGCAACCTCTGCCAAGGAGTTTCCACCCCCACTGGAAAGACTGACAGCAAACATTTATTGAGTCCTTGTGACATGCCAGGCCTTGCGCTAAGCGCTTCATAATGTATTAACTCACTTCATCCTTACGACAACCCTGTGAGGTTGCGTCCTTACAGATGAGGTGACCGAGGCCGGGAGGAGCTTCCTTGGAGTACTCAAGGCCACGCAGTAGAAGTGGTGGATCTAGCTAGTCCCGACCCCCTGCTCTTGGTGTGGCTTCTTGCTGGCGTGCCTACAAGGCACCTCTCTGGTGCGTCCTGCTGTACTTCATGAAAATCACAAGCCCTAGAGCCGAGTTTCTTAAGCTTGACCCTAATTCAACTGATTTTGTTAAAATGCCAATTCTGACTCCCTAGGCCCCGGGGTGGAGCCTGAGAGGCTGCCTTTTTAAGAAGCTCTAGGCAGTGATGCTGCTGCTGCTCTAAGGACCACACTTTGGTGAAACTAGAGTGCAGAGCAGACTAGAAGGGTCTTCCAGCACCATCACCTGCTTGCAGAGCTGAGGACCTGTGGTAGCCACATCCCTTCACTCCCCAGCCCTCACTAGAGCCTGGGACCCCACAGCCCTTCCTCCAGGGCTGGTGCTGTGGATGGTCTGGGTCCTGCCTCTGTCCCTGTCTTCCCCTGGAGCTCAGACTTGCAGACTCTGGGGAGCAGTAAGGTGGAATCTGAATGCACCCCTGTCTTGGGACATCCCCTAAGCCCTGGCCCAGCTCTGACCTCCAGGGAATATTTGTCTTTCTTCTGGAAACTCCTCTTCTTGCCTGTGCTGGCTCTGTGTATAACACCTCCCAGCCATGAGGAAGGTGAAGACACTATTGGCTGGCAGGGCCTGCAGCTAGTGAGGAATTCTCTGGAGAGAAGCCTCGGTGTGTTGGGCCCCTTCTCCAGCTATGGGGACAAGGGAGGTACATCTCACCTCCTAAAGCCAAGTGAGGGAAGCTTCAAGAGAATTGCTTGGAAACTTAACTGAGCTCCCATGAAATGTGAGATGTTCTTGCAAAAATGGTGGCTGCCTCATCTGGGAAAGGGTGAGGGGAGAAGCCAAGATGGCGCTGCTCCTGACAGGCACCTAGCATACAACAGGGTCCAGCCTACAGAGTGCAGGGATCAGAGATGTGCCAGGGCTTTGCATGGTCCAAATGTGGGTCCTGCAGAAGGGAGACTTGGGTGTCTTACAAAGAGGATAGACAGGAGGCTGTCCCTTGCAGAGAATCTACCATAAGCAGCAGATGGAAGATGACCCCTGTGCCCCGGCTCAAGAGAGATCCCTAGCATGGAAGGTCCCTTTAGAAAAAATGGAAGCAGCACTGTTTATGTGCGTGCCAGCAGACACAGGGTAGCACCCAGTACAGCTGCACCACCCAGGTGAAAACTTCTTCCTTGACCTTTTTCCCCGCAGGAAGCTCCCAGGATCTGGTGCTTTGTCTTTATTAGAGGCTGCTGGGGATCTGGGAGGAATCCTGGGGCAAGGCGAGAAAGTGTCCAAGCAGCCACAACTTCCTGTCCCAGATGACTGCCACAGGGTGAGGGAGAGCTTCATATTGAGGAGAGTTTGGAGTTAAATGTCAGGTAGACGGGTCCCTTACTGTTCATGATGGCCTGCTATATAACCTTCCAGAGACCAAGAAACAGTGAAGAGAAAGAGAGAATACATTGGGCAGTAATTAGAATAAAACCACTTTCTGGTGGTACTCTGAGGTCAGCATGTTCAATACACTGGTCCCTAGTGCGTGGGCGGTAGAGATGGAGTAGCTGAGCCTGGGACTGGCCCTTGGAAAGCCAATCAACTCTAGGATATGGTTCTTAACATTTTTGGAGGGTAGCTGGATCCTCTAATTCCAAGTTCAAGGCCAAAATGGAGGCTATGGACCTTTAATGAATATGTCCATGAATGCAAAGATTTTAATATAATCTGCCCCTCCAAAGCCTACTCACAATGTCCCTAGAAAATAATACACCCCAAATAGAGCATGCCTAGAGGTGAGGAGGGGTGGGCATGTACCTGCGTGTTTGGTAGTGATACTATGGATTCGTTGTAGCTTCTAGAAGGAGGTGCTAGGCTCTGCTTACTTTCCATTCCAGGGGGCACACGGCACGCTTTAGCACACCTGCATGTAGGCTTCTAGAAAAGTCATTGCTTTGTACTTTGTTGCAACTGAACTTTTCAAGCAATGCTGGGAACAGTTTGTTTTCTGTAGCCCTGCCAAGGAGACCCTGGCCAGGAGGTTAAGTGAGTTTCATTGAAAAGACACACTTCTCCTCCCCAGGTCGATAAATAAGACGGCCGCAGGGAAATTGGCTTCCTGAGCCCGGGTGCTCAGCTGGAGCGGCCCATCCCTGGCCAAGGAAAATAATGGCACAAACACTGCGGGGACATATAGGAAGCATTTCTGCTGGAAACCTGCTGGGAATAGCTGCTGCCGTTTACATAGCAAACCCCTCTGGGGCCTCTGCACAGCCTGAACAAAGCCGTCCCGGCCCTCCCACTTCCTTTTGGCCTGGCTGACCCCCTCCCTGCCTCTCCCCAAAGACTGACAGCCAGGCCACAGCACGTGCCCCATCCACAGGAACACAAGACAAACTCTGTAGCTGTCACCACCAAACGCCAGTCTCATTCCTGGCTCCCCAAATCAAAGGGGTCTCCTTTTAGCCAGCACTGCAGAGGGACACAGCCCCAGACCAGCCTGTGTCCTAAGCCCCGTCAGGGCACACAGAGGCTGGGGACAGGCTGCTGTCCAATGTTCGCAACTCTCCTAGCCCTCTCTCTGGGCCACAGCAGACAGTAGGAATGTGCCTCCTGGTCCCCATGTGGAAACACCTACCTCTGCATGGCCCAGAGAGACGGCTAAGGTGCTCGCTGGGCTCAGACAGGGTCAGATACAGGGATGGGGCGGCTCCAGGCGGGCTTTGTCATTATGTTGTTCCTAGTTTCTCAAGAGGACAGCCATGTGACAGGAACTCCTGGGGGCTTGTGCTGTGCCTCTGGGCCCCTTAACTCCACCCGGTTCTTATGAGCCGTCACAGAGCAGTGCCTGACTCTGGTTCTGACACAACTCGACCCTCTCTGTCCCCCAGCTTCCTTGCCAGTCTCCCATTGCAGTTCTACATTCTCTCACATTCCTCTGTGAAGCCCTTGGGATATACATGGAATAACAAGGCTCAGACCCAACTGCTTCTCTTCACTAGCGAGGATGGCATTCTTCCCATCCAGCCACTCCATCTTTGCTCTGGAATGTGAGGGGCTCCAAACTCTCCTTACCCACACACTCAATCAGTTCTGCCCCAACAGGTTTCCCTATAGCCACATAGGGGACCACACCCGGTTCCTCTGAGTGTCCCCATCCCATTAGCTCCACGGACCCCTCCCTGGACAGCTCTTTTTCCCACATCCACTAGACCAGGCCCAGCCTCCCCAGGCCCACCCATCCTCATGGAGCCTCTTGGACTATCTAGATATGCCCTGGAATGGGGTCCCTGGGGTCTAGGCCGTTCCTGGCAGCACAGTCTATGTAGCCTGATGCCTTGGACCTGTGTTGATGAAGAGGAAGACAGGAGAGAGCAGACTGGACAGCTTGGAGCAGAGGGCATTGCCCATCCTAGAGAATTCTGATAGGAGACGATACCCAGGAGGGCCTCCACCATTCCCTCCCATCCCCATGAGGATCACAGCCCGACCTTGTGCTCCCTTCACACGCACAGAATAGAGGAGTCTTGGCCCTCTGCATGGGCTGGATACTTGCTTTATAGAAAACCAATTACCAGAAATAACCAGGGTCCCCAGAGCCACCCTCATCAGAGGCCTTGGCAAGGGGTGACCCAGTGGGAAACCAGAGAGGAGTGAAAAGGCAGCGGAGCCACTGGTGGCCTCCTTCCTGTCCTTGGCAGTCACAGTCAGCTGGGAGGTAACTCAGCAGCACACTGTCCTGTCTCACAGTCCTGGGCAGCCCTTCACAGAAGGGGCAAGAGGCCCTGTAGGCTTCCATAGCCATGCTGGCCTGGGTGGGGGTGACGCTCTTCTCAGAGACTTGCCGCTGAGGCCCAGGTAGGTCTCAGGAGTCACCCCAGTGATGAGCAGTGGAGCCACAGGATTTAGATGCATCCAAGGGTCACAGGATGGGCTCTGAGCCGTTCCAGTCCACGGATGCCCCCTTCCACCTACAGACGGATCAATCAGAGAAAGAGAGTTAGAGATGCAGGGCCCCTGGCAGGAGCCCTGTCCTGTTTTGTCTTAGAGGCTTTCAGAACTTCCAGTTCCACCCTGCCCACCTCGCCCCTCCACACTCACGCACAGCCCATATACCCTTACTGGGTTCTTTTTTTTGGGGGGGCGGGATACTGGGGATTGAACTCAGAGGCACTTGACCACTGAGCCACATCCGCAGCCCTTTTTTGTATTTTATTTAGAGACAGGGTCTCACTGAGTTGCTTAGTGCCTCCTTGTTGCTGAGGCTGGCTTTGAACCCGTGATCCTCCTGCCTCAGCCTCCCGAGCCACTGGGATTATAGGCAAGCCATTGGGATTACAGGGGTGTGCTACGGCCGGCACCCCCCATACCTTTACAAAGCACACATACACCCATACACCTGGGACCCTGGGGAGCAATGGAAAAGACAGAGGGCAAGTGACTCATTCATTCCTGCTACGGCTGACTTGGTGCCTGGCACTCTGGCCTCTGCTGATGTGATCCGTGCACATCTGGACCCAGCTGCTTTCCAGTGGTGCCAGATGGTGACCCAGTAGAGGCACCTGTGCAGACTTAGATATGGAGGTAGCCTGGGATGTCCAAAGTACAGGAGGGTCCCAGTGACCGAAACCCAGAGAGATGGGAGAGAGGTCTAAGAGGGGACCGGGGACCCAGCAGAGCCTTGTAAGGATTCTGGAAGTTCCTCTAAGAGCCACAGGAAGCTTGGGAAGGGTGAGGAGCACCACAGGAACATAACAGATTTTTTTTTTAAATGTGCTTTATGAAGCCTAAGAAGCACCAAGTAGAATTAAACTAGAGTCCAGGGTGATAAACAAGTTAATAGTAGTTCAGTTCCAACATAAAAATTATTATAGAGGAGAGAATAAAATTTCCTAACACTTGATTTTAATTCGTGATGCTGATCTTCTGAAATAACTCAAGAAGAATCATATTTCCAGCAGATGGAGAATTTATGTCAGTCTGGTTTTGGGTATTTTCTATATATGCAGAACCTAAGACTGTATGAACCAGGCCACCAAGGTTGCATAGCTCCACAGCAGTGCTGGGCTTCCAAGTGGGAGACTGGGATTTATAAATGCTTTCTAAAGTGTAGATCTTGGGGAAGGAGCTGAAATGTTGCTTTCAAAACCTAAAATACACCCAGGACCTTGGGGAGTGATGAAGAAGACAGAGGGCAGGTGACTCATTCATTCCTGCTACAGGAGTGACTTGGTGCCTGGCACTCTGGCCTCAGCTGATGTAAGTGATCTGTGTACATCTGGACCCAGCTGCTTTCTAGTGGTGCTGAATAGTGGCCCAGTAGAGGCACCTGTGCAGAACTAGCTATCAGGATTAAAGTAAAAATCCTAACCACCATGGAGAAGGAAGAAAGGAAAGCCATCTCTCTTACTGAAATTATGAAATTGTATACCTGCCTGGAAAAGTTTAGCTGCCAGCAGTTTAGTGTCCCTAAGAATGAAACTGCAGTCAGGGAGCAAGCAGGTTCTCTCTAAGTAACACTGTCACACTGTTGTGTTTCCCAACAGAATGCCTGAGAGCACTGGGCGGGGACAGTGCAGTTGTCTTCTTCATCCACAGTTTCCATATCCGCAGATTCAACCAACCAGGATCAAAGAAAGAGGAGAAGGGGTGGGAAAGAGAAGAAGAAGGAGGAGAAGAAGAGGAGGAGGAGGAGGAGGAGTGGAAGAAGAGGGAAGAAAAAGAAAAAAAAGAAAGAAAAAAACAGCTGGCACATGCCTGTAATCACAGTGGTTTGGGAGGCTGAGGCAGGAGGATCCCAAGTTCAAAAGCCAGCCTCAGCAACTTAGCAAGATCCTAAACAAGTTAGAATTATTCTGTCTCAAAATGAAAAATAAAAAGGGCTGACGTTGTGGCTCAGTGGTTAAGTGCTCCTGGGTTCAATTCCTGGTACCTAAATAAAAGAAGAAGGAGGAGGAGGAGGAGGAAAGGAAGGAAGGAAGGAAGGAAGAAAGGAAGGAAGGAAGGAAGGAAGGAAGGAAACTGCATTTTTCCTTGCATGTACAAACCTTTCTTTATCTTTTAATTAATACATAAACAGTACAATATGACAACTATATAAATGGCATTAACATTGTATTAGTATTATAAGTCACCTAAAGATGATTTAAAGGATACAGGAGGATGTGTATACAAATACTTTATCAGTTTTTAGAAAGGACTCCAGCATCCTTTGATTTTGGTATCCTCAAGGGGTCCTGGAACTGAACCTCTGTAGACACCAAAGAATGACTATTAGTAATGATTCATCATAGACTCAACATCCTCCATCTTTATCACATAACCTAGTCTTCCATTGAATTCCCTTCTCTTTTCTTTCTCAGGCAGAATTAAGAGACTGTGTGGTCTCCAGGTGCTTTAGACTAGTTCTTGAGCTTCTGCACGTGTCAGACAGATCCAGAGGAATCTATCAGGTACTTTGGGGCTGAGCTATGCATCAGAGCATTCATCTTCACTGCCTGAAGAAGAGACCCTGGGACTGTATTTGGAGACAACTTGACATGGCTTGGAAAAGTGAGACTGCTTCTGGGTGGTAAATGCCTGCTGCTGGTGCTACCTGGGGTTGGAGTCTGATGATGTTCCAGGGGAGTTAATATGAGTCCACCTAGCAGGGACAATGGCCACTGCTCTGACTTGCACAACTGAGCAGGTACCAGAGGTAAGACAGCCAGGGAAGGCTTCATGCTGATCCTCAGGTTCCTGAGGACTGGGCTGATCTCTTACATCTGTTTTAATGGTACTTCAGCCATCTACAGCAACATAATGCAGGGTTTAATGGATTCCACCCTGCTATTTGAGACGTTCAGTTGTTCAACTGTTCCTGTTGATTGTCTTTGCAGTTTTGAAGTATATCATTAGAAAGCTTTTATTGTTCAATTAAGATTTGTAAGTAAGCATAGAAGACTCAGGCTCTAGGAACACTCCTGAATCTAGATCCCCAGAGGGTGACAGAAGGGACGCAGAAAGGAGAATGACATTCTTGCCTTCAGCCTTGTCCTCAGGGTCCTCACTGATATCGCCCTCCATCCCTACCCACTCTGCAGGCAAACCCAAGTTCCTCCCAAGAGTCCTTAAACCTCTTGGATCTTGGCAAAATGTGCAGTTATAAGTATGACTGCAGGGTGAGTTATACTTATCTACCCCTAGAAAACATTCATGTCACATCAGTCACTAAGCCTGACTGTCAGACTGTTGGATTTGTATTTGGTTTTGAGACTGTTTACAGAGGTAACTAATCTTCCCAGCCTAGCCAACAGGTGTAAAGGCAGGAAATAGCACTAGAGAGAAGCAGTTTGCAATGATAGCGGAAAATCAAAGACGTCTTTAAAAATTGAAAGGGCTGAGATACGGCAGATGTTGTTCTGAATGTCTGTGAATCAATGACAAGGACAAGGAAGAAAAGCTCTTCCTATGCAACCAACAGCAATCAGGGATGATGGAGAAGGGGGAGGAAAGGAGTCTGCGCGCACAGCGGAAGAGGCAGAATCAGAGCCAGGGCTCGCTCACCAGCGCTAATTCTGGAGGTGGCTGACAGCATGACAGCTTAGAGCAGGGTTTCTCAACCTCGGCACTTTGAGCATCTGAGCTGGACAATTCTTTATTGTGGGGATCAGTCCATGCATTGTCCCTGGATGTGACAACTACAAAAACACCCCCAAACTTTGCCAAATCACTCTGTTGAGGACCACCTGCTTCAAGGTTGAGTTTGGTGGAAATGTCACGGTCCCTGGAGCTTAGGTGGACCCAGCATCACAGAGAGGGTCATATCGTGGCTACAAATGAGGCCCTTTCCTTCCCAGGGTTAATCCTCCAAACAGAGGATTCGTTACCTGCCCTCACAGATTCTCAGTATTGATAAAACTGATGGATTTCACTGGGGGAAAGATACCTAATAAGATCCACAAGGAGAGAGCAGGCCTGCTTTCAAAGCTCCTGACTGATGGAGATACAAGGCCTGTGTGCAAGTTTATATTCCTGTGCTTTAGCCATTTGAAACCAAAGAAGGTTCTAGAATGAGCTACTTGGGCTATTGCTCACCTGTGAACCTTGGCCTACGCTCCACCCTCTGCCTGGAACGGCCATCCTCCTCCCCAACCTGCTCCCTTGCAGGATCAAATTGAGAATTCCTCTGGCTGCCAGGTTACCTGGGGACCCCTTTTCCCCAGGATCAGACCCAGGACAGAGCTGGTCTCCCCCATCCCAGGGCTACTATGGCACAAGGATGCCCCATCCATACCCGCTGTTCCTCTTGGACACCTGCTCTGCAGCCCACTGCCCCCCACGGCACCCACCAGGGAACCTGGGTCTTCATTCACTTCACTCTCCTTCCCTTTGATCTAAGTGCTCACAAAACCCTACCCACGGCCCACTGCCAACTCCCTTGTCCCCTGCTCTCGCCTCTTCCCAGGTCCTTGCCCTACTTACCACTACCTGATCTTTCTGCCTCCCTGACATGTGCAGAGCCCCTTGTGGTCTCCAAAGGAGAGGGACTGCTTCTAGAGTTCTTCCCTCAACCTCATAACAGCTCCGGGAAGGGATTCTGACATGACTGACAGGTGGGAAAACTGAGGCCAGGAAACAGGGCAGGGTGGATATGTGCAGGCAGCAGGGTATCAGATGGTACTTGGTGTGACAATGGAGCAGTGGGAACCCCAGGGAGTGTCCCTCCTATGGGTTAGAGGTGCTGTGAACAGGGACTCAGGCAAGGGTGTCACCATGAAGATAGAAGCCAGGGCTCCTCAGTGGGTGGAGGGGCCACTGACGGAGGTGGGTGCTCTGCCCCAGGCCCTCAAGGGCATGGATTCCAGCTGCAATTCCATTTTCAATTTCATGTCTGAGCCTCCAGAGAGACACATGTGGGCTCCAGCCCCAGCCCAGTTGTGAGTTCTTTCCTTTTCTCTCTGGACAGCTGACAATTATTTCATTTTCTCTCACTCCAGAGAGGATGGAAGCATGAGAGAGGTCACCGTGTTGTCTTGTTTGGAAATGACCCTAAATGAGTCAGGTTTGCTGTCATGGTTGGAGAACAGCAGGTGGAGGGGACAGCAATGTCCCACATTCCAGACACAGCAAAGATAACGAGACTTTCTGAGGTGGAGACATGCATCATGCCAAAGAGCAGCGACAGCATGGGAACCCAGGGATGGTTCTAATTAGGATGCTCTTCTCCGAAGGCAAACACAGCAGTCTGGGCTTGTGCAATGTCTCCATGGCAACAGAGCCAGGTGGTGGGAGGACACACTGCCCGCTCAGTGACCTTCCACTGGGCTGGGACACTGAGTTGTTCATGATTGAAGTGTGGCTGGGACACAGACCTCCATTCTGGAGACCCCACTTCTCTGTCTATATCAGAGGGTATCCAAGGACATTTCTGTAGATTCCAGGAAGTTGCTAGATGGCCAGCTGGGTGATGTATTCTTTTGGGTCATTTGTGAGTCGGGGCTTTTTGCAGGGCAGCAGAGCTGGGTTTAAGAGTGGGTGGTGCATCTTCCTCTGGATTAGAGCAGAACTGATGTTGAACTTAACTTCCATTTAACTATGAATCCTCCAAGAGCAGGAATCAATTCTTATCCAGCCATTTCTTCCAACCTAGAGGTTCCCAGGGCTGAAGTAACAGGAGGAGGAACCTATCGGCCCACCAGGTGGTCTGTCTGTCTACCCAACCCATCAGCAGGACAGATAGGACAGCCATGAGCTTTCAGATGCTGGCCTTAGAGATACTGAGCAAAAGCATGGCACCACGTATACCCACTTTGTGGGGTGGGTTTGCCTACAGGCAGCAGGAGTCCCTCCAGCCAGCCCCAAAGACAAGACCCATTCCAGCAGGTCCTCACAGTGACATAGGAGACACTTTCCCCAATTTCTCCTTTGAGCAATTTGAGAATCTGGGATGAAAACAAAACTCAAAGGCTTTGTAATATACCCCTTCGGAATAAGATTCCAGAAGACCCAGCCTGCTGTCTTCCATCATAGCAGCATGTTATCTGATGGGTAGAGGGGCAGGGGACCCAGGAACCCACTCTTCACTCACCACTCAGTGTTTCTAGGAATTACTAGGAAATTTTCTAGGAATTACTAGGAAAAAAAAGGAAAGATCTCATCATGGCCCAGTGGATCCATCATGGCGGGTCACAATGGGGACGTAAAACAGGAAGAAAACTGGTATTGGGAAGAAGGTTCCCCTGGCCTAGTATGTCATGCAAGCCAGACACTGGAGGGCCCAGAGATCTGTGTTTTTACTCATTCTCCAGAGAATTCTGCTGACTCTGAAGCTTGAAGACCTTGCTCAGGAGCAAGACTTTCCAATTGGAGAGTCATCAATGGATATTAGGTTCCACCCTGGAGCTGGGTGGGGTCTGGAACAACTAGAGTCTCCAGACCTGGTGTCCCTAACTCTGTGCTACATAAATAGGGTTATTTTGCCTCTGTGATGCGAATTGGTAAACATTTCTGGAAGAGATGCCAAGCTCTACCTTGTCCAAGCCCATGACTGTGAGCAGAGGTGAGGGCAGAGCCAAGCTGCAGCCTGAACCATCCATTCCCAGGCCCAGGCTCACTCCCTGATGCTAGCAGCCTCTCCAACTTCCCCATCTGTCAACCGGGACAGGGCAATGGTGAGTTTGGTGTGGGAAGGGAAGAAGTCCTAGGAGAGAGGCAGGTGACAGAAAAGGCCCATGCCCATCCTCTGAGCTTGGCCTGAGCTCCACATCATGCCACCTTTCATCTGGGACAGGCACCACCCCGAGTCATTCTCAAATGAATACCAATTAGGGCTGAGCCTAAGAAATCCAATCAGGGCCCATACTGGGGGGTACTCAGGTGGTCACGTAGTGGAACGGCCTTTGGCAAAAGAAGAGTTACTTCCCAGAAAGGCAATGGAGGGGCTGGTGTGCCATGGGAGGGGTAGAGAGACACAGTCAGATGGAGGCTCCATCAATGGCCCCAAGAGTCCGGAGGTGGCAGAGGCTATGACCAGGATGCAATTTGAACCCTGAGTCCCCCCTGCAGGAAGAGTGTTCTGTGGCCTCCTGTGCTGTTCTGTACAAGGTGCCCAGGCCAGGGTCATCTCCTTTCCCCTTCTCTCATCACCCTGAATGAGTGGCTTTGTACATGAAAGGACAGTGACCTGCGTGCGCCCTTAATCCTCTGATGAAAGAAGCTCCGGCACATGACCCTGTAAGAATGCTGTGTCCCTGGCCCAGTGGGGGACGGGCACCAGCGGACAGATGGACGGGGGCATCCCTCCCACTTCCCCTTCCTGACTTCCCCTGAGCACGTGGCATTCTCTCTCTTTCTCACAGGTGGGCGGAGACCCTGGGCTGCAGGTGTGCCATCGGGACCTCAGGCAGTCAGAAGCTCAGGGCCTGGGTGGTGTCCTCACCCCCCACCCCCAATGTCACAGGAAAACGGAGTTTCCACGTGAGGCCACACTGAATCATGAGTGGCTAAGACAATCCTATTGAGAGTGAACGTTAGAGGGCATTAGTGATGTGACAGAGGACAAAGCAAGGTACAGAGAGGTGAAGTCAACAGCGCCCCTCCGGCAAGCTGCAGAGCCAGGGGTCCGACCCAGGCAGCCTGGCTCCAGACCTCATCACCACTGCAGTGTCTGCTGCTTCCCTAGAAGAAGGACCTAGCTAGCGTCCACACCTCCTCCCTCCCAGCTGCTCTCCCCTCTGCACACTGAGGCCTCCTGTCATTACCCCCAGGCTTTGACAAGGGCCTGCCACCCACAGAGAGCTGGGGGTTCCCCACAGCTACAACCCATGGGCCCCTCCAGAGCACTGCCCCAGCCCTGGGGCCCCTCAGAGAACTCATGAGGGAAGGGAACATGGCCTCCACCGGGCCCCATGAACTAGGCCTTCCCCTCCCCTCCCCTTAAATGCAGGAGGGCTGGGTGGAGGAGTCCCTAGTTTAGTTGCCTCTGAGCTAGGAGCACCTCTGCTCAGTGTTCATGGTGGCCAAGGCTGTCTCTCCACCCCCTCCTGGAGCAGAGGGTGCTCCTGCTCCAGGCCACCTCCTGCCACACCCTGCCTGGACCAGCCCCTGCCATCCCCCCTTCCACTTTGGATTCAGCCTCCAGCTCCAGCCCAGTGAACAGCTCTCCCTCCTCCTTCAGGCCTGACAGCACTCGTCAGGCCAAGTGGCTGCTCAAGGGAGGCTCTGGAATCCCACCATGGGGACGTGCAAGTCACTTATGTCTCCACTTGGGCCATGGTGACAAGGGAAGACATCTGGTTACGCCTGAGCCCCAGAACACTGGGTCTCTCCAGCCTGCAGTGGTCTCACCTACCCCAGTCCTCTGGCCTGGAACCATCTGGAAATCCTTCCTCCTTTCCTGCAGGCCTGACGCACCCAACCACCACACCTCCCGGTCATTCAGGAAGAGGCTCAAAAGGCAGAGCCATGCCCGACTCACTTGGTTCTGATGCAGAGCTCCAGGGGAGGGACAAAGTCATTGTGGCTGTCCTCGGGGCTGGTCTGGGTGGTATCTGGGGAGGAGGGAGAAAGAGAGGCATAGTCATGTCACTCCAGGGCTCTGCATTTAACCTGTGGTCAGCGTTGACAACTTTCTTGGGACCTGACCCTCTGAGTACCTATGCCTTCATCTCCATTCCAACTGGATCCACCTTCATGGCTGGCCCTAAATTCTTACCTGGACAACTCACAGGCCTCTCATTGTCCAGTCTCTATCCCAGTTTTGTGCCTTACTTCAGCTACCAAAATCTTCTTAATAAAAATACATCTGATCCAATCATGCCCTGCTCTAAAACCTCCTATGGGGGCTGGAATTGTGGCTCAGCGGTAGAGCGCTCGCCTAGGACGGGCAGGACCCAGGTTCGATTCTCAGCACCACATAAAAATAAAGGCATTGTGTTGTAGCCATCTACAAAGAAAGATTCATATTCTCTCTCTCCCTTAAAAACAAAACAAAACAAAAAAAAAACAAACAAACAAAACCTCCTATGGCTCCCTCTTGCCTGAAGAATAAATCCAGACTTGTCAGCAAAGTGTTTGGGGCTCTTCCCATGTGGCCTCCACTTCACCTTACATGCTTGATGCTATCAAGGGTCAAGGTCATCCCTGGATCCCTCCAGCTGGAGGGGCCCTGCTAAGATCTGTTCTCTGATCACCCAGTCCTGGCACCCAAGTCTACACTGTCCTCGAGCATCCTGAGGGGGGATGTGAAGTCTGGTGTCTGTGAGGGGTCTTGAAGCTCCTTTAGGGTACAGGTTGGGGGGTGTCGCACCGATGGTCAGCCGGATCTGCTCCTGCTGGTTGGCCAGGCCGTCATAATAGTACAGGTCAAAGTGCCGCTCGGCCTTCCAGTCAGACAGGAGCTCCATCTGCAGGCTGAAGAGGACGCTGAAGTGGCTCTCGCTGCACACTACCCAGATGGGGAACCGTGGGGTCTTCAGGAAGCAGCCAACCTGGAGAAGGGAGAGGCCTGATGGAACCTGCCATCCCCAGAGAGAGGAGCTGGGGCTTCTTAATCCAAACCAGGGCAGGATGGACCTCAGAGAGGCCCAATCCTGTATGTGTGCTCTGCTGGGAGCCATTCCTGCTAGTAGCACCACTGGTCAGTTGCCCAGAGCTGCCCCACCCCCCAGCATGGCGGCTCACAGACCTGAAACAGGGGCATCATCCCTTCCTCGCCCCCCCCCATGTCCAGTAGTTCAGGGTGATGCCCATGCTGCATCTTTTAGTTCCCTCGCTCCCACCTCTCCTCTCCAGGTCCACTCCCCTGCCTCACTGGACCATGGCAATGACTTCCTAACCAATTCTTGCCAGGCTTCTCTTGCTAACCAAGCCCCCATGCCTTCACATTCTCTATCCATCATCTACAGCTCTCTTCTCCTTGGAGAGCCTGTATCACCCAAACTACCCAATCAGGGGGCAGTGATCACTTCCTCCTTGCAGATCCCAGGGGCCCATCACCTGGCAACCAGATTCCTGGGCCACAGCACCACAGTGCATCCCCTGCCTCGTGATGCCTCACCCACCCACCAGCCTGCCAGATGATACCCTAGCAGCAAGGGCCCAGGTGTGAGTGGTTTGATGAACGAGGGTTCTTCTGAGCAAGATGGGACTTGAACTCGAACTGTGCCTCAAAGACAGGAAGAACTGGGAGCCGCAGGAGTCGGGAGGGAAGGGGCTGGGTGATCAGTCTGTGGGCGATGCCAAGAACGAACGGCCAGAGAAACCGGAGGTACAGGGGGGACACTTCCTTGCTTCAGTACAGGAGCAAGAAAGATGAGGTTGGGTTAGTTCCAGAATAAGGAGTGGAAACTTCCTTCAGGTGAGGGATTCTCTAAAAAGTTCCAAGCCAGGGAATCTCATGGCAGAGAAAACAGAGCAGGCAGCAGGTCCTGCAACGCAATGCCACCATTTTCCCTGCAAAGGGGAGAGGCCCCCAAGGGCCTGGTCAGCTTTGCCCCTCAAGCTCTCTCCCTGTTCCCTGTGAGTCCCCTGGGCAGCGCCTTTCCCCACCAGGGGCCCGGGTTCATTCCTCCATGTGTACGCCACGGTCCAGGCTGGTTCAGGCCTAATCCCCACGGGCCCCAGGGAGATGTTTGCATGCTCAGGTATTTACAGCCGCTGCCTGTGGATTAAGGAAAGAATGGGAATTATTTTTCCAGTGAAGAGAAAGGCATAATTTCTCCAGGGCCTGACACAGAAGAGTGGCTGGGCAGCCCCTACTCAGAGGTGACTCTGGGCTAGAGGTGGCAGGGGCAGAGAAGCCATGCTCAGAATGTCCCAGTGAGACTTGTCCATTAAAGTGGCTTCCTCCAGAGGGCAGGAGGGCCATCTTTCACAATGTGCTCCTCACTTTCTTATTGTCCAAGTATCCCTTCCCCCCTCACCAACTGGGCCCTCAAGTGACTTCAGGGCTTGCTCCTTGTGGGGTGTGGGGGAATTAGATGTCTGAAATCACAAATCCCTCTACCAACTCGGTTTCTGTCCTGTTTTCCAAAGTTGGCACTGCCCGCAAACAGGGAGCCTGGAAGACAGGATCCAGCGCTCCCTCCTGGCAGGAAAAGAGCCCCGAGCCAAGCAGGGAGCAGGCCCTTGCACAATCAGCCCCGCTGAATTTTCCAACTGAGGACACCAGGGCAGCTGGCCACAAATAAATAATTGTCAAAAGGTTAAGGGTAAGAGTTTGTCAATGAGTTTTCTCATTCAGGAGGTCCCTTCCAAGTGGGTAACATTTTCCAGAGATGAAATCTGCTTCCTTCTCATTCTTAGGGAACCAAAGGCTGGGGCAAGGGGCCACACTCCCCACGGCATAGTCCAGTCTTCCCCCTGGAGGGGCCTGCGCACAGTCAGAGATTGCTTTCAAATGGTAAGTCTTAATCTGCAGAAGCTGTGAGTGACCAACAGCCAGGTGGGCTGCAGGGATAACCATTGTGTCCATAAGGGCGACACTTGCTCATTGTGATCTACACTTTCATCCCCAGCACTGTGCTATGCAGTGGGGACACAGCATGGAAGGAAACAAGAACAATCCTGTCCTTGTGGAACTGACCAGATTAAGGGGGATAACAGAGAGGAATCAAATAATCTAACCCACAATGAGCTTGTGCTATATACCTCGTTGAATCTATGACTCCACCAGATTGGCCACTTTTATTTTCTTTCTTTCTTTCTTTCTTTTCTTTTCTTTTTTTTTTTTTTTTTTGGTACCAGGGATTGAACCTAGGGGCATTTAACCACTTAGCCACATCCCCAACCCTTTTTAAAAATATTTTATGTAGAGACAGGGTCTCACTGAGTTTCTTAGGGCCTTGTTAAGTTGCCGAGGCTGGCTTTGAACTCGTGATCCTCCTGCCTCAGCCTCCTGAGCCGCTGGGATTTCAGGTGTGTGCCACCATGCTCGGCATTGCCACAGTTTTTTGTGTCACTAAGAAAGACAGAAAGCTGACCACACTTGGCACGCTGTCAATTGCAATAATACATTATCATTTCAGAAATGCTTAACATGGGGAACGTTTACCTCCTAAAAGCAATGAGATATGGAGAATGACAGTGGCAAGAGGTGCACGGAGTGGGGGGCACGAGAAGACACCCTGATTCAGGCAGAGTGAGGCTGAAGGAAGGAAAGCCCTTCCTTTTAGGAAGTAACTTTTAATCCAAAAACTTGAAGAGCAGAAAAAGCAAGACAGGTGCAAGGTAGAGTAGGTGCAAAGGCCCAGAAATGGGAAGGAAGGAACCCAGGAAGCAGGGATGGTGGTGGGCAGTGTGGCCTAAGCCCGTGCCCATGGGACAGAGTTCGATGGGGTGAGGTGAGAGGAAGGCAGGGATAGGCTGTGAGGGTCATGGGAATGTTGGGATTTTAGTCCCTGTATCAGTTAGCTTGGGCTAACAAATACCATAGACGGGGCGGCTTCAGCAATGGACATTTATTCTCTCCAAGTTCAGGAGGCTGAAGTCTGATGGAGGAGGTATTTGAGTTAGATCTGGAGGCCTCTTGCCTTGGCTCATAGATGGCTGTCTTCTCCCTGTGTCTCTGCAAGGCCTTCCCTCAGTGTCCTAGTCCCTTCTGCCTATGATGACACCCGTCGTTTGGATTAGGGCCATCCTAGGAACCGCATTCTAACTTAATCACTGCCTTGCATCCCGGTCTCCACCGACAGTTACATTCCAAGGTCCTGGGGGTGAGGATTTCACTAGGCAGTTTTAGGGGGACACAGTGAGCTCATAACATTCTCAGAGGATTGGGAAACCGAGGTAGAGTGTTGAGAAAGGAACGAGACGATTGGATCTATGTTTTTAAAGGACACGCTGGCTTCCGTAAAAGGACAGGATTGGGAAGAGTGGGGACAGGAGCTGAAGTCAGCCGGACTGTCACCAGTATCAGACCAGCAGCACTGGTGGCTGGACCAGGGCGCACACAGACAGACTTGAGCAACGTCTGCCAGACACCCTCTCACGCAGGGAGATGAAACTCCCAGTCTCAGCCAAGGGAAGGACAACAAAGGGTCTATGTGGATCCTAGGAATCCAAAAAGGGAAGGGAGCTGGAGGGCCTGGATGTCTTCCGCCATTTTGTAGGGGAAGGATGATCTTGGCTGAGAGTCCCATCAATTACCCTCCATTGACCCAAAGAAAGCAGTTTATTTTTTAACCAACACCCTAGCAGCAAGAATGAAATGAGGACTTGTGGTGAGAGTCCACAAGTCTGGCCAAGGTCACTTTTCTTAGAGTTTCAGGCTGAAGATTTTGGGAGTCCACTCGGGGTCTGATGCTCCTGCACCCTGGCACTCCTCACTAGCCGCGTGGCCACATTCCTGGCCTCCCTCCCGACACCAGCACAATCAGGAGGAGCCACCTTGCTCTCCCCCCAGCCTTTGGTTGATCCCACAATTCTGCATTCTGTGAGCTGGGGAATGTCACCCAGAAAGGGGAGAGTGTGGCACCACGTGGTTCATTAGTAAGGGACAGCACACCTGAACCTGTGGCTATGCAGGGGGGTGGGATGAAAATCTGGTCCCCTCCCACCTGGTAAATCCATCCTCCCAGCATTCTCCAGATGCTCCCATCAGGAGGGTCTCTGTGTCCTGGTTCTGGGACACATGATGCATGAGACCTAGCTCAGCCCTCCAAGAACCTGCAGGCAGAGGCAGAGCTCCTGCCACCCTCAGGACAATGCTCCCATATAATCCACCACAGAACAGTCACGAAAAGCAGGGCTCAAAGAAGGTTATATGGCAGCTGGGACAAGCAGGTAGGGTCAGTGAACCCCCGGCCAGCCCTCCTCAGCCCCTGTCCACATTCCCTGGAGGGTACAGTCATCACACACTGTCCAACTGCACCTGAGACCCTGGCTTCAGTGAGATAGGAGGCAGGGAGACCCAGTGAGGCCTCTTAGAGGTTGAATAGTGTTCCCCAGAAGATACTTGAGACCTCTGAATGGGATTTTATTTGCATATAGCATCACTGCCAATGGGATTAGTTAAGATGAGGTTCTCCTATAGGAGGGTAGGCCCTTAATCCAACTGAGGTCCTTAGGAGAATCTTAGACACACAGGGAGAAAGCCACTGTGGAACAGCAGAGTCAGGGACTGAGGTGATTCATCTGTAAGCCAAGGAACACCAAGGATTGCCAAAAAAACACCCCAAACTTCAAGAGACAAGGTTCAAGTCTCCCTTTGGGTTTCAGAGGGAGCCCTGCTCTGCAGACACCTTGATCTCAGGCCTACGGCATCCAGAACTGTAAGAGAATGAATTTCTGTTGCTTCGGCCACCCAGTTTGTGGCATCTTGTTGTGACAACCCTAAGAAAGTAATACAAGGCCTCAGACCTCAAGTTCCTATCCCCCATTCCTATGGTGCATGTGCACACGCATAAACACACACACACACACGCACACACACACACACACACGGCCCAGAGGCAGCCAAGGCCAACCCACAATCACACTATAAATTCCTAGAGGTACTTTCCAGACAGTCTTCCTCAGAACTCAGCATCAACTGGCTTTGGGTCTGAATTGCGTGCTTTACTGGACAGCAGGGAAACTGCACGTCTTCCCAGATCCTTGGTGACTCAGGCTGGACCTGAATTCCAGCCACTCTGGGAAGGGCAGTCCTGCTTTCCTTCCCTGCCATTGAGCTCTTTTCTTGTCAGTTCTAGGGAGCGAGGCTCCCCAGGGTCTGGAGAACATGAGTGTGTGGGTACCTGGCACACGTTGTAGTGCTCAAAGAGGGACAAGAAGCCAATATCGCTACGTGCTGTAATGCCCCGGAGGAGGGTGATGTTCCCGTTCCCAGAATCCAGCTCCACCACGTCGTTGAAAACATTGGACACGGCTCTCCCAGTCAGGAGCAGATTGACAAGTTCCTGTTGATGAGAAGGGGAAGCCACGTCAAGTCTCTGAATCAGCTGTGGAGGGGAGACTAGGAAAAAGGAAAAAAAAAAGGGGGTGGGGGTGGAGAAGGAAAGCAAGCAAGGAGAGAGAGATGGAAATCAGAGGCAGGCCCTGCAGGGAAAGTTGCCATCTTTGCTCATCTAAGTGACTCAGGCACTCATCAACTTTTATTCCCTAAGCATTCATTGAGCACCACTGTACACAGGACCCTGTTCTAGTACCCACACCATTGGAGAGAACTTCAGGAGGGTAAGACATGACTCCATTCTCAGTCCAGACTGGGGTGGGGGTTAGGTGTGTCCCCATGGGATTGAAGCATGACACAGAATGTGACTGGGGCTATTAAAAAAATGTGCATGTAGAGCACTCCAGGGCCCAGATGGACAGGACACAAGGCCACATGACAGAGTAAAAGTGGCTTTGTAGACTGACTTCTGGGATGTTAATTTTTAAATAGACTTTTAGATTTTGAAATAACTTTAGACTCAATAGAAGTCATAAAAAGAGTTCATAGAGTTCCTCGTGCCCTTCACCCAGCTTCCCCCAACAACAGCATCTTCCAGAAGCAGAGCCATACGTAAAACCAGGAAACTGCCAGGCACGGTAGGGTAAGTCTTTAATCCCAGCAGCTCGGGAGGCTGAGGCAGAAGGATCGTGAGTTCAAAGCCAGCCTCAGCAAAAGCGAGGCGCTAAGCAACTCAGTGAGACCCTATCTCTAAATTTAAAAATATACAAAAATAAATAAATAAATAAATAAATAAAACAGTGCTGCAGGGCCACCTGCACTCCAGGCTTATTTGAATCTACCAGGAACAGCAAGGTCTCAGTGGAGGTGAGAGGGCAGGGCAAGATGTCTCAGGGGCAGGAAGAGCAGAAGCAGGGGGCAGCGGGAAGCCCATCTTCACCTTGCCTTGGGTATTATGTACTCGGTGGCCCCATCACTAATGCCTCAATCCAGCCCGGCAACAAGCACATGACCTTAGGACCTGCAGCAGGAGCGCTGTTTCTCTTGCAGTCTCCTTCAGCCTGTGTCCCCTGCACCAGGGTGGATCACTGTGGCTGGAAGGGACCTTCTTTATGCAATGGCCTCCTTGTCCAACCTCCTCTTAGAAATGGAGAAACCGAGGCTCACAGATGCAGAAGGACTTGCCCTGGTCACACACAGTGGGCGCCAGGACTGAACCTCCACCCACATCTGTTGGCTCTGAACATCTGTCTGGTTTCCCTTCAGTTGTCCCCACCCCTCGTTACACTCATGAAGGCCCCTGCCTGGACATGCATTCAAGATGCAGGGTGGTGGCCTCCAAGGGCCCACTGCCCCCTGGGGAAGGAGTCCAGCAAGCTGCCCCAGCACTTGGGCAGGCAGGTCTCAGTCTCACCCACCTCCACCAGGGCTGGCACCGCCCATGAATCAAGCGGGCAGGCAGCCCTCTCGCTGCTCGTGGGAATGGCCACGGCCGCCCTTTCCTAAATGGCAGAGTTTATGAAAGTGTTTTCCCCTGAATTGTGAAAACAACGTCCGGGGTTAATAAATCCCTCTGTTAACACCAACACCCCTGCCCCAGTGACAGTAAAAGAGGTCTTGGTTGATGGCCACTGAGGGAGTCCTCATTGGACAGAGATACGAAGGGGCCTCATTGTGACCTAGCAGAGGAAATGAGAAAAGAATTTGGAGGAAATATCTGTTCTAAGATACTGCACCTCAGGGGCAGAAGGGTACAGCCTTGATCAGGCAGGTTCAAGTTTTTTCCATCTGGTTTTCAACAGGAAAAAAGGGCCCTGCTCCTTAATCAAGGGTGTGTCCAGAACCTTCCACCTAGCAGAAAGCCTTCCTGAGATGGGAAGAAAGGAGCACTGGGCATCTCCCACTCCCCATCTACTTCCTTACTATTCAAAATGTGGTCTGTGAACCGGCAGCATTGCCTTTCCATGGGCACTGGGGCAGCCTATTAGAAATCCAGAGCCTCAGGCCCAAGCCCAGATGCTCTGAATCCAAGCCTGCTCTACAATAGGACCCTCGAGGGTTCGTGTGCACGTCAAAGCTTAAGCAGCTTGGGGTGGGGAAGAAGATGTCCCAGCTCATATGGTGAGTGTAACAGAAAACAGTCCTTGAACCCAGCCCCAGACTCTGGTCTGGCATCCTCTGCCAACACGTGATGGCCACCCACCTGTGGCCAACATCACTCTCTGCCCTCTGCAAAGAGAAGTTCCCATGGAGTAGAAAAGCACTCAGAGGGAGAGTGGGGCTACCCCAAGCAGCCTGTCCCCTGAGACCTTCTCCCAGAAAGGAGGACAACAGCCAACCCCATCCCTCTGTGGCTGACTGACAAACCATAGCCCCAAGCTTGCACCTGCATAGTGACCAGGCACAGTTCCAGAGCTGGGCACGAGTGAGTCAGGACCCCAGGACAACTGGGTCTTCAGCCGGATTGGAAGATCCAGCTGAATCTGTGTGAACTGAGAGTCAGAGGTCCCTGTGGTCCATGTGGCCACTGTGGGAGCCCTCGCCATGCAGAAAAAAGCACAGATAGAAATTAGGGTTGGGATTTAGCTGCCAGTCTTCCTGCTCACATGACTGGATCTGGAGCTGTTTCCTTTCCTGGTATCATGTGAGTGACTGAGAGGATCCAGGACAAGCAACTGTGCTCAGGGTCTCTCCTGCACCCCGTCAAGACCTCCTGGGGGTCCCTTTGTAGAAATGCAGCTGGAAGGGTAGTCATGAAGACAACACCCTGTAGAAACATAAAGGGTGTCATTGCTGCTGTCTCCCCATCTGGAGCCAGGGTCCTCAGCTTATGCCAGGGGCACTGCTCCCTGTGGCCTGGGCTCTGGGCAGGGCAGCACTTGGATCTCCATCCCACCTCTTCTGCGTGGGTCCAAGCACACAGATTACAGCACAGCAAGTACTCCCCAAAGAGAAGCTAAGCTGAGCTCTCTTTCCAAGTCTCCATGACCAGGAAGCCCAGCAGAGGTCGGCACACCAAAGCACTGGGAGGGTATCAGTAGGGATAAAGGAGAGACGGATAGAGGAAGAAGAACCACCTCCAGGCTGCCCCTGGGCCCCACAGTTCCCCTGACCTGTGTGCAGTATCCATGTGCTCCAATCAGGTGGGTGGTGGGAACATCAAAGTCCTGGCGAACCCTGGAAAACACAGAAAGGAGCCTCTGTTTGACCCAAGCCTCCAGGGCAAACCTCACTGGGTGATCGGGTGTTCCCCGTAGGCCCCAGGCCGAGGGTTCCAGATTGGGTGGGAACCTGCGTATCTTGTGTTCAGCGTTGTCTACAGAGGTGGCCCCTGCTCCAAAGAAATTTGGGCTCAAACCCAGGCCTTCTTGAGCCACAATCACCCCGTTCCCTGGGTAACGACTTCCATTCTGGCCTCCCCAGGCCTCTGGCCACACCAGAGGATGGCGAGAGAAGACTGATACAGCAGAAAGTCCCTTGTGCTGGGAATCCAACATCCTGCCTTCACATCCCAACTACTGCTATTAACAGTAGGGGTGGGGGCAACCTCTCCCATCTCTGAGCCCCAGTCGCCCATCTGTGAAGAGGAAGGAACAGACTCGAATGCTCTGTGATGATTTGGTTATGGCTTGAGTGTGTCCCCCGTGGGTTTCTGTGTTGACCTTTAATTTCCCTTTTATATTAAGAGGGTAGAGACTTAATTCAGCTATGATTTAGAGGCTGGGCTTCTGGGAGGAGATGAGGATTAGGTAAGGTCATGGGGTGGAGCCACCACAATTGAATCTTGGAGATTATATGAGGAGGGAGACCTGAAGAGACAGGCACACGTTCCCTGTCTCTTGCCACGTGATGCCCTGCACCTCCTCAAGACTCTGCCAGCAAGGAGGCTGACATCAGATGTGGCCCTCAACCTTGGACCTTCAGAACCATCAATCAAAATAAACCTCTTCTCATTAAAACTTCCACAGTCTGCGGGATGGCGTTCCTGGCGATAGAAAATAGACCAATACAGCCTTCTCAGATTCCAAAACAACGGTGCTACAGCTCCCGTACCGAGTACCACGCAGGCATCATTCCACAAGACCCAGGGAGATAATGGGGGCTTCAAAAAGAGGCTGGCTGCCAGGTGCGGTGGCACACGCCTGTAACCCCAGCAGCTCGGGATGCTGAGGCAGGAAGATTGCAAGTTTGAGGCTAGCCTCAGCAACTTAGTGAGTCCCTAAGCTACTCAATGAGACCCTGTCTCAAAATAAAATATAAAAAAGGGCTGGGGATGTGGCTCAGAGGTTAAGGGCCCCTGAGTTCAATCCCCGGTACCACAGAAAAGGAAGAAAGAAAAAATAAAAAGGTTTGCCCAGAGCTGCTGGGCCCAGGGCCTCCAGGCAGTCTCTTTTCAAAGCCTAGAGCCCCTCCATGCTACCCCTGTGGCTCCTTCCTCAAAAGGGGGTTCTCCAAAAGGCATAGACTGAAAAGCCCCTTTGGCAGAGTAAGTTCCTCAAACCACAAGAAATGAATTTTAGGGCTGAGCAGCAGTGGGGACAGAACAATTCAGGATGTGTCCTATCTTTGGGACCCTGTCCCCTATGAGGAGTGAGTGATGAACATTAGGAGGCAAAAAGCCCTCCCTGAACTTCAGAGTCCTCCTCAGCTTGTCACCATGCTGGGAAGCCCATTGTGGCACGTGATTCCTAAAAGGAGCAGCAAAGACCTCAAGCTAAATAGCTCCAGGAGACAAAGCATTCTTGTGATCGGAGCCATGTAACCAGCACAGAGTAAAGGAGCTACCGTCTCCCGACTGCATCCAGCAGATGCACCTTCAACCCTCTAGGACCCCTGGGAATTGGGAATTACTCTTTTGAGCAGCACAGAGAGCTGGGTTCTGGGGGCCAGGCGAGTCCCAAGTGCCTGCTTCCCAGACCACTGCACACGGCCCTGGGGGACACACCACCACCCATCACTGTATCCCGGCCCTGGCCCGCTTCCTTTATCCACACCCCAGAGAGAGCACTGCGCGGTGACCAGGGGTTGGAAGGGTTTAGCAATCAGACCGCTCATTTTTCTTTTTGGTGGAAGAGAAGGGGAACCTGGTCTCAATTTATGCTCTAGATCCAAGGTCTGCCATAAGCTCACAAAACTAAAACAGACACCCTGGCCCTGTATCCTTTCCCGACAAACTTCAGAAATTCAGCCTCCACAATACTTGCAGAGATAATGCTTTCTTGTGGTTTTTAGTGACCATGCCAAATGAGGAAGGTTTATGGCCCACATGAGATGGCCTGGGAGCACCGTCATAGGGGACTGCAGACCGCAAAGGCGTGGGGTCCTCTGGGAAGGCCCTCAGGGCTGACCCACCAGAGACAGCCCAGCAGGCCTGGGAGGGAGCCAGCCAGGGTGACTCATGGAGCACCAAACTCGGCTGGCGCTAGATCAGGCAGAAGAATTGATGGAAACGTTCTCCTCAGCGTATACAAGCATCTTCTGATGAGAAGAAAATAACCTCAAAGGAGTCCTGGGTGGACCGATAAGCATCGCTGGCCTCAGGCCACCCGCAGTTTTCAGAAGCGGTCCGATCTTCATAAGCTCACAGCCGCGTGTTCACCCAGCGGGCTTGAGAGCCTGCGTCAGCTGGGAGCAGAGGGACAAGCAGAAAGGACAATGGGAGGAAATGGCAATTGCATCCTTAGGTGCAAACACGATGGGAAATTCAGACGTGTGCTTGCATCTTAAAAGAGAGGAACATCTGTATTTCACATCAGGGCACTTGAGAGACGCCAAGGAGTGGCTCGTGGCTTCGGAGATTTACAACTTTGGCACATGTGGATGCTCAGGCCTCCCCCAGGGGAGCTGCTGCCGTACTAAGCGCGAGGAGTCCTTGGGCAGTCAGCTTGCAGGCAGGATCTGCACCAGACCCTAGTTCCAGCCCTGGCCTGCTGCAAGGCCACAAACCCCTTGCCCCTGGGCCTCAGTCTCTCTTTCTGGAACATCAGAGTCTTGGACAAGATGAGAGGTGTACTGGCATGAACTGTCCAATATGTTGAAGTCCCTGTCCCCGCCCCACCCCAGCATACCTAAGCTTATGCATCTGGAGATAAAGACTTTAAAGGGGTGAGTGAGTTAAAATGAGGCTCTTAAGGTGGGTCCTAATCCAATGGGACTGGTGTCCTTATAAGACAAGGTGTCTAAGAAAATTTGCACACACAAAGAGATCCCCCTGGGATGTGCACACATAGAGGAAAGGTCACCTGAGACACAGTCAGAAGTTGCCATCTGCAATCCTGGAAGGGGAGCCTCAGTAGGAACCAAGCCTGTTGGCACTTTGATCTTGGCCTTCAGGCTGTGGAGGTGTAAGAAATCAATTTCTGTGCTTAAGCCACCCAGATGGTGGCACTTTGTGACGGCAGGCCTACGACACCTGTACAAGTGGCTCCAATGTCATTTTAGACTCAGAGCCCTTTCTTTAAATGAAATCTTATATGCAGAAGCCTGTTTTATGAAGGGTGGTGTTACTTAGCTGGAGGCAGTACTGGGCCTTGCCCATCACCTTCTCCCTCCACCAGCCCCTGTGGCTTCTCAGGGGAACCTCTGGGTTCCACGCATCCTGGGAGCAGAAGCTGAAACCATGCAAGGGGCCCCCAAGCTCTGGGCTCCTACCCTTCTGGGCTCCTGAGCCACAAACCACGGCAGTCTCTTCCCCGGGACCGACTTACCACCCAGTTCTAGTGGGCAGGGGGGTCCTTTTCACAGTTCCCCTGGAGGCCAGTCCTGGGGACTCTTGAACAGCCCGAGGCAGGCACAAAGCTGAAGGACAGACGCCAGGCAGGCCCAGGAGCCCTGAGGCCCCACCCAGGTTCCACTGCCCATGGCTCCCGTTGGCCGGTCCCTTCACCTAAAAGCCTCCCCGTGTGAACGTGGCATTTGGCACACAAGTTTCTGAATAAGAAGAAAAATATGCCCAAGTGGCCTAGAAGCATGGCGCCAGTGTCTAGCCACTCACCTAAAACAAATGTCCGCAAGGCGTGTCAGTGGGCAGCTCGGCCTTGGCCTGACCGAGTGACCTCAGGCAAGTCCTCACCTCTTTTTCAGCCTGAGTCCTCATTTAGATGAAGCAGAGGCCTAGAGCAAAGGATCCCCGGGGACCCTCTGGGATGCAAACAAGTGAGTCTGGTTCCTGACTCTGATCTTAAGACATCCAGCTTCTCATAGGCAGTAATTAGCCAGAAGACCCAACCTGCCTCCACCTGTCCACTGGGACATCAAGCCCTGAGCAATTACGTCCCACTGCATCAGCTAATCTGGCTTCCCAGAGGCTATACCCCAACAGCACTTCCCTACCCAGCTGCAGAGGTGGAGCGTCTGGCTTATGAAAGGGCAACTGTGGTAGACCAAGAGAACCTGGCTCTAAAGGCAGGGAGCCCTGGGCTCAAACCCGAGTGCTGCCACTTACAGGTTGTCCCCTTCTCAGAGCCTTGGTGTCCCCACCTGCCTGATGGGTATGAGGACGCCTCCTGCTATTAGAGATCACTGTGAGAACTGGATGGGATGAACTATATAAAGCATCTGGCATTTGGTAAATGTTACTTCCTTTTTCCTACGATAACAACATGAAAACAAGAAAACAATGACCAAGAGGTCATGATTCCTGCAACCTTAACTATTCGTATCACAGCCAAGAACCCAGAATAAATCGAGACCTCCAAGAGGTTGAAATGTAGCTGCGAATATCTGAAAAGGGTCTGGAGAGAGCGGATATTGACTGCTTTCCCAGGAAGGCAGAGAGGGAAGGGACAATGAGTCAGAAGACCTGGGTGTCTGGCCCCTCTGCCACCTGTGCCGCATGGCCTTGGCAAATTGCTTTCTATCTCTGAGCCCTTGGGTGTGTCTTTCCCTGACGAAGATAACAATAGCCACTCCTGAGGCTTGCTGGAAGAGATCCTGAGAAGGCTTTGCAAAGGGCAGACAGCTCCAGGGCTGGAGAGCTCAATGTCAATCCCCCTGTCCAGGCAGTGAGAACTTGGTGGGAGACTGTGCCTGGAGGAAGGAAGAGAGGAGCAGCCCAGATTCCACAGCCACTGGCCAAAAAGCCCTTCCCAAGCTGTCTTCCCTCAACACCTGCCATCTTCCCCAACTCCGGGACCGCCCCTCCCAACCTCACACAATCAATCTCTGCAAACCCTCAC